TGAAGGACCCGAAACCCTAAACCCAAAACTCTAAACTCTAGACCCTTACATTATCTTGCTCTTGAGTAGTAGTAGGGAGACCCCTTAAAGGGGGACCCTTCTGAACCCTACTTCTGGCTCTCTTATAAGGGACCTTATTGAGAGCGTCCATATCCCCAAGGCTCCACCGAATCCTAACTCCCACTTGCCACCGGAAGGTGGGTTCAGAGCCGCTCTTGAGGAATTCCGGGGACCGGGGTTCCGGTGCGCTGAGGATTTGGGGTTCGGGGTTTCGGGTTTTGGGGTCGGGGTTTTAGGGCTTAGGGTTTAGGGTTTAGGGTTTAGGGCTTAGGGTTTAGGGTTTAGGGCTTAGGGATTAGGGTTTAAGACTTAGGATTTGGGACAGATATATCGAAGGATAAAGATCATGGAATCCTCTACTCACCCCCGCACTACTCCCCTCCCCAAACTATACCCAAAATAAAGCCTTATTAGCCACTTAATAAGGGCTTATCTTGGACCCTTCAAAATAATGCTGGAATAGTGTAGGAATAGTGCAGGAATAAGCATGAGGGAAAAATAGTCCTTATTCCATGACTATTTATTCTGTCAATCCGACGTGAGATATTTCGGGGGAAGTGTGACTGTTGGCATAGATTCTCTTCATACCTGTCTGTGTCGCCTGCTTGAAAGAACCTAAGATTGCACCCTTGTCTGACGCCCGGCCTTATCAAAGGGCAAGCATTCCAAGACACGCCGGAACGGCTTGTGGTGACTCGTTCCTCCGAAAGCCTGAACCCTTAAAAGATTGCAGAAGCCAGGGGTTACGACGCGGGTTCCCACCAGAAACTGGAAGGCTGACAGGCCAAGGTTTGCTGTTGTAGCTTAGACACACAAACTTACACGTTTGTGAAGCTGCAAAGAAATGGCCATTGCCGACGGACATGAAGCCTCCGATGCTTTGCATGACGATGCCGATGCCGAGCTGGAGTTCACGTCAGAATGCTTGTTGCTGAGTTGCTGTACAATGGTGGGGGAAGCTAGCACATAATGCCTGTGAACACAAAACTTATCTGTTGAGGTCTGGTGGTGTGCGGAGGGCACCAGATCCCTGTCTTTGACTCCACAGTGCGCATGGCAGAGTGGGTCGTGAACAAGGCTAGGGCCACTTAGGGGAATATAGTGCGTGGGATACGTGCAGTGAGATCCGCAACATTAACACTGTGCGAGCCAAGCCCTGTGCCAGGTCCTCCTGCTGTTCAACAAGTGTCAGACAGGCAAGAAACTTGTTGCAAGTTTCCGCACCAACCAGGTTGCGATCACAGACTTTCATCATGCATTGTGGCCGGGGGTTCCTGTAAAGCTGTTGACGCCCAAACAGGGACGTGCGGAACAGGCCCGACAGGCTGGCGAGCAGCAGTTTTGGGCACGGCACATGACAGTGCCCACCTCCATGCTCATTGCCTACGTTGTGTTTGCACTGGGCTCATCCAAACGCAACTCAGATGCTCGTGCGGTTGCTGCTGATGGCTTTGCAACGTTAATCGTCATGCTGGCTTCATGTTTGGGTGGTTTTTGCTTGCCCCATGCACGTGTCGGCGACAATGCCCGAACAAGTTTAGGTGTGGATGCCAGAGGGGAGATCGACAGCGTAGACTTCTGGACGTCTGCTTTCTTTCAAAGACATGCGCAGAAGAGTTGGGCCAAGGATCTTGCCGACACCAAGAAGAAATGGATTACTAAAGAACCGATTATGGGGAGACTTCCTCTGGTGGAGGTCGTGGCATTTTGTCTGGACCCCGGTCACTCGACGGCTCTGCAACATCAAGTGACAAGCCAGGTGTATGCCCTTCTGACTCAGCTCGCGTGTGTTTTGGATGAAGCTGTCCCACGCATTCGTCATTCCATGGAGTCGCTTCCCAATGGTAGTGCCGCAAAGGTAACCAGCAAGCACAGATCGTTCATTGAGACAACAGTTTTGGAGGCACTTGCCAACAAAGTCTGGTCTGGAGAGGACGGCAATTCACAGCACAATCTTATTGAGTTTGTTTGCGGCTGCTTGTTGTAACACTGTTGGTGAACTGCCCTGATTTGAACGAGACTCAGCTTGATCCTCTCCTCTGATTACCCAACTCTCGCCAGGACCGAATGCTGTCAACGGCGATTTCAAGCCTTCCGAAGGCGCAGAAGGAGAAACTTCGGCCAATTTCAGTGAGTCTTCCGGCAACGGCCGATTGGACGCACTATTGGCATGTGAGGGTGTGCAGCAGTTTCTTATTGTGTTGTGCCCCGCGCAACTAAGTTTGTCTACTTCAGCTGTTTGTGCACGCAGCTTCGAGACTGTCACCACTTTCACGTTGAATCCTCAGTGGTAATTGCAGCCGGACTAGTGTGTGAGATGGTTTTGTGCGAAATGGCCATTCTGTGAGTTTGTGCGTTGCAGGTTTACATGGATGCCAGCAGCGTCTCGAAGCGACCAACTGAGCTGATCTGGCTTTGGGCGCCAGAGAAGCAGATCGGTGGATGGTGTCCGCCCATCGTCAGAGTCTTAAAGCTCGTTCTGTGCACAGTCCGTTGCGTGCGTCTTGAGCCAGCACATGAGGGACCGTGTGACACCGTGCAGGCTCAATTTGCTGAGCATGTTGTTCTTCCGATTGAATAAAATCTGCCAGGTGTAGTTGTGTATCACAGACCAGCAGCTAGCAGTGCACTTGGCTTTGAAACTTTTTGTCAGTAGCTCCCGCGGGCCCAGCGGTCATGAAGCGGAGGGCTTCCACAAACGAGTTACCCTCGCTGACGGATGACGACTCCGATGAAGGGGTTGGGACGCAAACGTCGTTGTCTTCCTCTTCGAACCCAGTTGAGGACACTGCAGCATTCATAGTTGCCACTGATGATTGAATACGCAATGTGTGCAACGAACATGTCCTGTGGCATTTGTGGAGTGGACAGTTGTGCCGTGATTCCCTCCAGGATATGGTTGATGAAAGCCGGCTGCAACAGGCAGCTCGTTGTGTGCAGCTTGCGTGGGCAAAGCTGCAGAAAATTATGTCAATGCAAAAATTGCAGGCCGGGGCTTCCTGGGGCTTTCTCAGTTGTTGGATGAGTAACTAACGAGAAATGCGTTCGTATTGAATATTGAATATTGAAGCTGGCAGCTTGGCGTCTCTGCGGCCAGGCTTCCATGTTGATGACTACGAGGAAGACATCCTCTTGCTGTAGTGGCGCTTTCACGGCCGAAATGGCTTTGGCTGTTGTTGAGCGTACCGTGAACGATTGTTCTCGAGAAGTACTAGGGCTTCCCGTTGAGTACCGCCCGATCTTTGCACATGCCCCTTGCCTTGGGTTGGATTGGAAGCAATCACGTTTCAACAGCTACCCACAAATTCCCAACTGCTACAACTGAAGCTAAGGAGATAGATGAGCATTGCCGGCAGCTCATCCAAGATCACCATCGCTGGTGTGAGAAAGCTGTGGGGCTACCACGAAATGCTCCTTGTGTTTTTGGCAATGTTGTCAACGTGTTTGCCAATGACCTGACACTGCCGCCGCTGGACCCAGACCAGCCTGCAGGCAAACGATTCCGGGAGCTTGTTCGTTCCGCGAACAGTGCCCCTTTGCGCGTGCATCACCACTGCTACACTCACAACCAGAAGTGCTGCTTGTTTGGCGACAAATCAGATGCTGCAGACCTGGATATCAGTGGACTCCCGTGCCCTGACATGTCGAGGGCAGGATTGCAACAATTCCAAGACGGGGAAACCTCGATTGTTTTTGCGGCACACGCCAAGATGCATGCTCAGAAAGGGACCAAGCTGCTCATAATCGAAAATGTACGAGACACTTTGATGCAGTACGTGAGTGTCAATGACAACAACAGACGCAGTAGATGTGCAAGGCTCTTTGTGTCGCATGTGTTGTTTCTGCGAGTGCTCGAGGAACTCCGCATGGACATGATCGAGCGGCTGTACGACCGCCACTACACCATCAAGAAGCTGGTTGTGGACCCGAGCCATCAAGGTCATGCGGGAATGGCTCGGCCAAGGCTGTACTTGGTGCTTGCACGCAAGCACAAGGTTCAGGCGATGTATGATGTCCAGGAGATGTACGAGAGCGTCTCTGACTTCATATCTGGTTTGGTTGCCACAGAGCCGCAAGACTATCTAGTGGCTTCGCGGGTGGACCGGCTGATGGAAGTTAACAGAGTGGCAGCGCTGCGTCGCAAGCGCCTGCGCGCCGCAGCCTAGCCGCAATAGAGACACACACGCATGTTGCTCAACAGCTCAACTGCCATTATGTTTTGATCCGCATCCCGGCCCGTTGGAATTGTTGAACCCGAGGCAGACGACTATCACATGAAGTCTCTCCTGAACGAGAGAGAGCGGACGGCCCTCAGGGTGGCATGCGACATCTACAAAGAAAGGTTTGGCGCGGAGGCGACTGAAGACCAGAATCTTTTTATTCACCTTGGGGATACCCCGCCAAAGTTTTTGTGCTGGAGTGCCGTTTCGAGGAAGATCCCCACCTTCCGCACCAGCTCTGGCTTCCTGTATCACCCTGCTACAAACGTTTGGCTCACACCACGAGAGAAACTCTCAGCACTCGGCTTTCCAGTGACGCAGGATGTCGCGGCATCAATGGGGGTACCAATTGTACCCGTAGCTGACTCCGCACGGGCATCCAGTGTCGCTGGCAACTCTTTTCAGTTCTGCTCAGCAGCAGTTGTGGCTCTGGTGGCATTGTGCTGCCACAAAGACATCGAGTCCGAGTAGTTGTGAAGCCCAGCAGCAGCAGCCCACAGATGTGAAAGCAAGTCGGCGGCGTGCCAGTAGAGTTTTTCAGAGGATGCCGTGAATGCTTCAGTTTGTTGCCTTGTGCAGTTGCGTACAATGATGCGAGTTGTGCGCTGGAGCTTCGAGTGCCCAATGTATGCATTCATTGCATGGCAGGAACCGACTGTGTGCTGCAGATCTTTCACACACTCAAGGTGTTTAGCGCCCAGTGGGCACCTTTGGCTAGGCATGGGGCGCAGGGACAAGAAGCGTGCTGCATCTTCTGCTTCAAGCGAGAGAATCCAAGCAGAAAGACTTCTCGAAGATTCTGAGTCTGGAGAATCGGACATGTTCCCAGGAGGGATAGACCCTGCTGCCGTGACTACCGGCAACAAAGCTGGTGCGAACAAGAACAAGCCAACGAAGTCAAGAAACCCAAAGGGCGGCAAGGACAGCAGCACCGGCCGCAGAATTGAGAAAGAAGATTACAAAAGCCAGAGAATTTACAAAGACTTTGTGAACTGCCACCTCCTGAATTGGCTTGATGAGACAGACTCTACGTTCCTCGGCAGGGACGTGTTGAAGGAGGCCCGCCGAATCAAGCTCTTTTCGGCAATCCTGTTCAACTTTGGTTGGCTGCCCTGGGATGCAAAAGCAGGGGAGAACAAGGCTTCAGTGATTCGGGCAGCACAGGGACAGTATGAACGACGGAGTCGTCCGGCGGCCCGCACCGGGTGGGGGATCTACGAGATGCACTGCTTTTCCAAATGGCAGATGAATGAGTACAAGAAGGGACGTGTGAAAAAAGAGGCCATGGGTGGATGGTCATGGAAGCTTCCAGCCAAGGACTCAGACACTGGAGCACCCGCCCCGCTCCCAGACGAGGTCCAGCGTTTCGTTGACAATGGTTTCAAAGAGAGGCCTGATGACAAGAGTGACAGGAAGTCAAAGCGGCGGCCCAGTAAGCGCAACGTGTCCGAGTCGCAGTCCGAGGGCGACACCGAGACCAACAGTTGCGTGGTCGAGGACTACATCATCATGACGCGGTCCACCGACAGGACTCCCGTGTTGACGCAGAGTTTTGGCTGCAGTGTGTCCTGTGTGAAACGCAATGGCAGCAGGTGCTAGGGCAGTGAGTCTGCGATCCTGTATTACATTGAGTCTTTATGTTGAGTGCAGTGTATGCAGTGCTACAGCCCTGTTGTTGGTGTTCCTGCATTAATATCTATGCAGAGTGCTTGCTTCCAAGGAAAGCGACCGGCACTGCCATTGCGCTGCCCAAGTTGGGTGAAGGCAAGCAGTACAAGCTTACGGTCGACGAGGACGACGACACCGTGCTCGTGGGGGGTCTCGCGCCAACGAAGTGCGATGCTATCTTCAAGGATCGTGCGTTGGTGGACAGCAAGAAGAAATCGAAGGGTCGAGATGCTGAGAAAGCGAAGCAGAAGGAGAAGGACCGCTCCAGGTCGCGCTCCATGAAAAGCGCTGCCAGGAAGAAGCGTGCACGCACTCCGCCCGCATCGCCACGTGGCAAGGGAAGCAAGCGCAGCAGAAGCCGTGATGATGGTAAAGGGGAGAAACCCAAAGCGCCGGAGAAACCCAAAGGCGTCCCCGAGCCAACTAACGCGAAGCTCCTGAAGGGGATGGCCCCCGGTTTGCCGAAGTTGCCCGGCAAGGTTCCGGGCGAGAGTGACACACCGCCACAGCAGCACAGTGATGTGGAGTCGCTTTTCGCGGAGTCTCCTGCGCCTGAGCCCGAGCCAAAGGAGCCTTTCCTCGTGGTGTGTGACGAGGGGACTTGGTTGGTGCACGCTGCGGCCGCGAAGATGATCCTGCTGCCCAAGAAGGAGGAATGGAATGTGGCCAAGGACACCGCCAAACATGTTTGGGTGGTAACCTGCTCGACAAACAGCAAGCACACTCCGCACACAGTCGATAAGCTGGTAGCCAGCCAGAGGGCCGTGGCCTATGATGAGAAGTCGATTCAGGAGAAACTCCAGCAAGCGCAGGAGAAGAAAGAGAAAGCCGACAAGACTGCGGAAAAGGAGGCCGCGGACAAGGAGAATGCAAAGAAGATTGCAGAAAAAGAGGCCGCGGAGGTGGCCGCTGCCGAGGAGAATGCGAAGAAGCTTGCAGAAAAAGAGGCCGCGGACAAGGCCACTGCCGAGGAGAGTGCGAAGAAGATTGCAGAAAAAGAGGCCGCGGACAAGGCCACTGCCACTGCCGAGGAGAATGCGAAGAAGATCGCGGAAAAGGAGGCCGCGGACAAGGCCGCCGAGGAGAATGCAAAGAAGATTGCGGAAGAGACCGCCAAGAGGGCCGCTGCCGAGGAGAATGCGAATAAGATTGCAGCCAAGGAGGCCGCGGACAGGGTGGCTGCCGATGCGAGCAAGAACAACGGCAAGGACGGGGACAAGAAGAAGAAGGCGGGACTGTGAATAGTGTTGCAGCATGGAGACGTCCACGTTAGATTTGCCAGCTGGTTATGTGTGCAATGGCAGGATGGCCCAGTGATAGACGCTCTTTTGCAGCAGCAGAGGAAGAAGTGAAGCTTTGGATGCATCGTGTTGAGCAGCCTTTCCTGGCTGTCTGTGAGTCCATGTCAAGCAGGGATGTGGGACAAGTGCCAGTGCCAGTCATGTATAATGCATCAGAATCGCAACAGTGAAAAGACAATCCCTGCTAGGCTAAACGGACACTGACCTTGTGACTGTGGCATCTATTTGAGGCACCACGGTGGAAGGGTTCACATATTACATAGGTAGCACTGACATTACGTCGAGTCAGCGAGACTTACTATAGTCCAGGCTGTGCTACTCTAGTTTTCTGCTAAGGCTAGGCTAGGCTTTGCTATGTTATGCTTGCATATCACTATACTATTTATTCTATACTATACTATATACTATACTAGGCTAGGCTTTGCTAGGCTATGCTTGCATACCACTATGCTATCCTAGACTAGACCAGACCAGACCAGACGAGACTCGCGTGGGGGGCTGTGGTGCGCAAGTTGGCGGGGGGCTTGGTCGGGGCGGTGGTGGGTCGGGGTGTGGTGGCAAGGCCCAGACAAGGTTCCAATTTGCCAAGGGAAGGCCCAAATGATAAGCCCCACAGATAAGCCCAGATAAGCCCAGATAAGGCCCAGATAAAGCCCAGATAAGGCCCAGATAAGCCCCAGATAAGCACCAGATAAGGCCCAGATAAGCCCCAG